GCAGAGGAGATGGATCTGTTCAGTATATGAATAGGGCTATGATCAGAAGATGGTGCACTGCAGAGTGAAAACAAAGGAAATGGTGAAGATGTACCCTAAAGCAAGGGAGGCAAACAGTTGGTTCTAAGACCGGCTGGTTCTATAAGGAGCTGTATGCTATCTTCTATTGCTACTTCACCTACACTGTCAAGAGGAGGATACATCGGTGGGCCTGGAGGTGTGAAAAGAGGACCTAACTTGGAGGATGAAGTCATTGCTGAAGAGTGGAGTAAAACAATCATGTGGAGCTCCCAGTGGGATCACTCGGTGGGGCAGCAGCGAGGAACTGTCTACCACTTCAGAGGTGTCTAGTCAGTGTCAGCAGTTGCTCTCATGCACATGGTAAGTGACTATGGTTTGTGTAGTGCGGAGATGGGTTCAGGGTATAGAAATGTCCAAGGCAGGCCATGTTTCTGTGTGCTGGACATTTCCCAGTGCAGAGAATAAGTACAGAAACATGCTGAGATCTCATGGGAATCCTCCAGAGAGATCTCTAGAAAGGTACCTGGAGGTATATGACAATCCTCTGCGAAAGCTCCATTGACAGATCTGCTTTGTGTCTTCCCACATTTCACAAAACTTTCCTATACCATTTGGCAATCACTTCTGCAGGTAGCAAAGCACCACACAGAGGAGCAGAACAGGGACCAGGGCAAAAGCCATAAGCATACAGTAGATGTACCCTTGCTCCCATGCTTAACCTCAGTAGTGAAATATCTGCTACAATGACTCCTGTCTGTGGGAAAAGTGTGGGAGAATTTTAGATTTTTCCCCCTAGTTGGCAACCTCTTTTCCTCATAAAGAGGAACATGCTTTGAGTGTTTGCAAAGATGTGTGCTTGCTAAGCAAGGATCACTAAGAAAGTGATTGCTATGATACCTAAAGTCATAGGCGTGCGCAGCACATTTCATTAGGGAGTGTACGCAGGGATTTTTATTTTTTTTAAAGGCGAACATTTATTGAATACTCAATCATAAAGGACATGCTGCGAGTGAACGCAGGCTTTCCAATACATTTCTACATTCGGCGCTTATTGCATAATACAACAATCCATACTTTAAAACTAAAGGAGCGTATCATGCGATTAAATTAAAATGCAAAGCCACTTTTTTTTTTGAGACATTAAGGTGTGCCTGGGCACACCCCCTGCGCACGCCTATGCCTAAAGTGTATTTTAATGAAATGTTTCTATGAATGAACTTAGCAATCATCCTTCTGTGCATTGTTCTTTGTGCCTCAGCAGATGCAACCTTAATGAACATCCCCCTACACCGGCCGAATGCCTCCACCAGATAAGAAAATATCCAAAACAGAGCAAAGACGACAAGTTCTGGGAGGCACTACCCTTCTCTAATGCAGAGAAAAGGGAACACAAGGAGTTGAGGGAAGCTGAAAGGCAAGATAGAAAATAAAATCAGAAGTTTGTTAAGGACACTGCTGAGTGGATGTTAAAGTCATGAAAGAGCAGAAGTTGCAGACTGAGCTGATGTATGCTTGTTCTCTCCTGCAGCACATTCTGTGCCCCTCAAACACTACCCACATTGTCCTTTCCATTTTCTAGAACATTTTGCTTTCCCCTTCACGCCACCATCTTGGACTTTCAAAATCATAACTGGACCTACACACAGCTGTGCAAGTTTGTGATTCCCTGGTGCCTCTTTTCCCATCAACCATTTTTGTCTGTGCGTGTTTGTGTTTTTCTTGTGCAATAAAAGCAAAGTTTTGGAATGATGACTCATCTTTATTTGCTTTCTATAAACTGAGATAGAAGGCACTACTAATACATACCTAAGCAGTTTAAACATTTGTTTACTGGACTGGAAGGCCCCAAATTTCGCCATTGCTTCCTTGAAAAACTACTTGTAATGTAGTATTGCAGCCTCCCTGATTTGAATTGCCTCTCTCTGGACCCCTCTGATAGCTGTGCTGCCTGACTGCTCTAAATCAGCAGCCAAGTCGTTTGCCTCAACCCTTCACCCTGAGCTTCATAATGATTATGCACTGTATAACATGCAGCTTTGACCATGAGAATATTATACTAATTGAGGTCTAATCTGCCATAAAGGCATTGCGAGTGCACCTTTAATCTGTCAAAGACACATTCCAATGTCATCTGGCACATACTCAGTGTGTTGTTAAACCAGTCCTTGTTGCTGTTAAGGTTTCCTGTGTAAGGTTTCATGAGCCATGGTTATAAGGGATACGCTTCTCTCAGGATCATTATGGGTTCAACATTCTCTACCATACTCTTCTGGTATGGAAAAAGAGTCCCTGATTGTAGCTTTCCATACAAGCTGGTATTCCTGAAAATGCCCGCATCATACACCTTCCTGGACCACCTTGGGTTGATGTCCGTGAAACACAAGCATCTCAATACCTTGGAGAATTACCCTTTCCTATTGATATCCTTTATCACAAGGTGGTCTGGTATCAAAACTGGAATGTGTGCCACCTATTGCCCCTCCACAGTTAGGGAAACCCATATCTGCAAAGCCATCCATTATTTCATACACATTTCTAAGAGTTATTAGGTCCTTCGCATTAGGATGCAAATTAACTGCCCTGCACACTTGCATTAATGCAACCCTAATGGTCAACTTCCTGACTTGAAATTGCTTTGGTGATTGACGATAGCAGTCTACAGCTGCCAGCTTCCAAACAGTGATTGCCCAGTGCTTCCCTACCAATAGAACCACTTTCATTCTGGTGTCCTTGTGCTGGAGTGCTAGGGAAAACTCCATACACAGTTCCAGAAAGATGCTGCTCATCAACCAACACCAACACGACAATACAATCCCACCATTCACTGCTTGTTTCCCAAGGCCAAATGGGATGATCCACTGTCTGCAGCTGTTCCATGTATACCAAGAGCAACCTAAAATTGCTCCTATCCGTAACACACAGTATGTCAGACAACTAAGAGTTTTCTTCAGTTAGGCACGTCATGATTACCTGCGCTGACATCCATGATCCCTTAATGACCATTAAAAGAGCATAAGAGAGCAGGGTGGGAGTCTGTCCCTTCTCACAAAGATGCTGGGGTGCCCAGCAAACAATGCCATTGTAAGATGCTGCAAAAGAAAGCCAGAAGTGCATGGGATGTTGGGACAGAAAACAATGCATCATGGAACATTGAACCCAGTCTGAAGATGCGCTGTGATCTGCTCCACCTTCCCACAAGACCTAGCAGCAGAAGAAGTTGAACTGGACCATGGGAGAGGTACCCACAGTGCATCGCTCATACTGTCAATGATGGTGCCGCAGCTGTGGGTGCTCTCTGCTGACAGAGAGAGCAAGTGTGTATGTACAATACCCTTTTAATTATATATTGTTTTTTGAGTGTTGACATGACTTTTGTCAACAAAACTCGATAATATAGATAAGACCTTAGAAAGATCTTTTGGGTTTTTGTTGTTCTTTGTTTGTTTGCCAGGAGCTCAATAATCCCAGCTGAAATTGATGAGCAGTCATCTCATTTTTTCGTCAGGTACATTCTTCTCAAATAATGCAATACAATTAGTTACACTTCATTTTCAGCATTCCATCTGAAATGTTGCTTGAATCGTTTTTTTGAAAATCAGAAATGTTATGTGTGGGTGGAGTACTGTACAAATGCTTTTAAATAAGCTGATTTTCACAACCCGTCGTCAGCCATTCAAGCATTTTCTTTGACATGAGGTATGCATTGTTTTTGCTCGTCTATCTCACTGCAGCAGGCCTGAAATGGCTGTGAATTAGTCACTTCATAAATCAGTAAGGAACTGGAACTGTGAAGAATCTGTTCAGCATAATTTAGTTAATTAAAAATTAATTTATTTCATTCACTAGAGATAGCATTCATAAATTACAAATCAAGGTTAATCATCAAAATATATATCCCTCTGTAATTCAAATGGGACTTGGCATAAATTCTTTTCAAAGGGCTCTTTAAAGATAGTCCTGAAGAGTCTATCTTTTAGTATGGACACACTGTCAACCATAAAAATCTAGCACCGTTGAAATCAATAGGAGTTTTTATATTGACTGTCACATGGTTGGAACTTTACTTCATATGCTTAAATAGTATCTTCTAGTAATGTGTGTTGCCTTCTTTGATTCAATTATCTAATACAAGTTGTATCAAAATTCCCCTTTGTTTGTTTGCTAAAATAACATATGTTATATGTTTAGTAGACACAACATATCAGTCTTTTCTGGTAATTATTACTAACTGCGAAAATTAATGCTAGAATTTTCTTTCCTTATTTAGATGGTTTTTTGGCCCAATCACACGAGCGGATACAGAGAAACAACTGTTGTGCCCTGGAAATCAGGCAGGAGCCTTCCTAATCCGAGAAAGCGAAAGTCAAAAAGGCGAATTCTCTCTCTCAGGTATCACAATTTTTTACCTTGGAAATATTTTAAGAGTTTCTCATTCAGACTGTTTTTCTTTTTTAATTTTCAAGAGTTTTAACTGCATGCATGAGAATGAAATTAAAATTCATAATAATCTATTGTTTCCAAGTGATACATAAAAATTGGCAAGAGTCAGTAGGTCTCCACCAGGTTGTATTTTATGGCTCTTTATTAATATGATCAACGTTCAAATTAGCTTTCTGTGCTTATTGCTTTTCATTGTTCCTGTTGCCTTGAAATGGGAAATGTTTTCATAATTAAAAAGCAACAAACACATTAAAGTTGTCCATCAATGGACCTACTGGTTCACAGAGTGGAAATTAAACACATGTTTACACTTGGCAAGTCTATCCAGGATATCAAAACAGTAGACTTCTCTTTTAGAATATATCCTTAGTTTTATACCTGATCTTTTTGTGGGGTGGTTTTTCAAAGTTAGACTTCAGAAACACATGCTCAATCTTCAGCAAAAACTTAGTTATATCTATGATGGTTGGTTTAATTTTTTTATTCATTGAAGAGCCCTCATTCTGGCTTCAAGAAATGTGATGGGCTTTCCGGTAAAATTCCTACCTGGAAAGGGACCGATTACCTACCAAATAGGACAAGGCATGATTTTACTCACACCAGCCAACCATACTTCTGTTGGTGCTGAAGAGCACTAGTTCTAATAGGTAATGTGAAATATTATTTCATGATGGATTGTATTGGACGCCATCCACCAAATCTGTGAAATAAAAAAGTTAAGAGATTTAACTGTTGGTAGGGGTATAATGTTGTACAACTGGGGATGTAGAGGAAGAAGCTTTCAAAGTCTTTGCTCACAAAGTAGCCTAAAGACCGTGGGGTACTTGCATTAAGTTGGGATGGTTCCACACACTTGATTACATTAACCAAATAAAACATTTTGAGACATGTCTCAGCATGCTAGGAAAGTGAACAGCTTGTCATCCACATACATTGTGGCTTGGTAAATCAGGTGTTGAAGCACAGTTAAAAAGTATCTTGTGTCCCTGTCAAGTCTACCAAAGGTAGCAAAATACTGCAACCCCAGCTAGGATATCCTAGTAATATTTTCCATTTCACTGAGATTGCTCAGACACGAGATCAGCGTAAAACAAAAGGAAACTGCCCCTTATAACTTATGTGTTGGGATGTTTATAGAGGTGTAATTACACACATTCATAATTATATTCATATAATATGTAAACAGTGAATTGTAAGACAGGAGCTTGAACCAAAAATCTGTGATGTGAAATCTGCCAGACATTTGAAAATAGTTTGCATCTGGTTCAGAAGTTTGTGGTTCTGACCAGTGTTCCCTCTAAGCTGCCCAGCAGCACAGCTTCACATGTAATTAATCAGCCCTGCCCAGTCAAAGGCTCAGGCCTCCTCTTCACTGTGCTGACTGATGGGGCGGGTCTGATAAATCACCTGTGAAGCTGTGCTGCCAGGCAGTTTAGAGGGAACACTGGTTCTGACCCATTTCTATTAATTGTGTGATAGTTCAGTATTGTACAATACTGCCTTAGTGCATGTCTCTACAAAGTGAGATCTGACAATTGCAGGGGAGGAGAGGTGTCAGTGTAGACATGGTTTTGAGTCATCTGTAACAAATGTATTTGTATTAAGTGGAAACCATGTGAAACACCTGGTGTTTTCAGCGGCTTGATTTGGAGTTTAATTTGTACCCAAAACTCAAAGAAAACCCCAGAGAGTTTGACTCTGCAAAGATCAAAACATATTACACTATCACACTATTATATAATGGAGGCAAAGATATAAAAAGGAGAGATTAATAAAACTTTTTCGGTGGCAGTGAGGAGAGGGAAATCCTCCCTTTCATTAAAATGAACACATTTCATTTCTAATGTGCCATTATGGAAAAACTTACATTTCATACATGATTTAGAAGGCAAACAAGACTGTTAGAATCCAACTTCAAATTTTAATTTTAAAGACAGGTTTTTGTGGCCACAAAGGATTAAATTGAGACCACATCGAACTTTACATAGGCCATTGAGATCTGTTGCTATCAACCTGTCTGCTTGATCTTTGTAAAATCTTCTTTTTGTTTTGTTTTGTTTTAAAACTGCACACGTTGCAGAAGGATCTTTTATGTTGATGATCCTAGCATCTGGTGCAAAAGGCATTACTTTTTAATCATGCTTGTGCCATCATAGGCATTGCCTCTTTTTAATTAAAAGCCATAATTTAGATGTGTTCAGCTTCACTGACTATCTCTGCCAATAATAGCAAGAGCCTTTGCTCTTCTTCTTGAATCATGACATCTGCAAGATTTATTGCATTTAATGACAATACTTTTAGGTACTTTCTACATTTCTATGGGAAGATTTAAAACTCAGATATGCCTGTTGCTGTGACTTATCTTTTAAACATCCCAGAAGGCAAATATGCTTATCCTTAATAAATGGCTTGGAGGTATTCAATCTGAGTTTCTTACTTTCCTTCAGACTTGAACCATCTTCCTAGGGATGAACATGGGACCCATGTTCTGTGGAAATTAAAGCAGTGAAGACATATTTGGCCGTCCCCTCCTCTTCTGGACCCATATGTCTTTCTTGCACTCCCAGAACAAGGCTGTGTTGTTTCCCTTGGAGCTAGGAGAGGAGGAGGAGGAAGAGGACATGTGGGGGAAGCAAGGAGTGGGAATGACAGGCAGCTACAGACAGTGCAGGCTAAAGGGGAAAAGCATGGTTCAGCAAAGGGAGAGCTGAGAAGAAGTTGTACTGTAGTTTTTGAAGTCTGTCCTCTTGCCAACTTCCTTTTTGTTGTTGGTCTGAATTTGTGAGGCTGTAACTTTACATTAGAAAGAAAAGGTGGCTGAAGTCAAAGGTGCTGACTTATTTTCCCCCAGGGATGCTCCATCCCCTTTCCTTTCTGAGTCCCTGCCCCCCACTCTGCCTCTTCTCCTCAGGCCCCTCCCTCACTCTGCCTCTTCCCACCCCATCTCTATCCACTCTCCTGAGGCCCATGCCCATTGCTTGCTGCTCTTTACCCTCCCCCAAGCACCTCCTCCCAGCTGCCAAACAGCTGATTGGTGGGTCTGGTGGAAGCTGAGCACCTACTATAGGGGTGGGGGGTGTTTGAGCCCTAGGGAACTTGCAGTGTCGCCACCTATGATGTAGGTACTATGTTTTACTGGATCAACTTCAATTGGTGAGAGAATAACAGGCTTGAACTAACACAGAGCTCTTCTTCAGGTCCTTTGGGAAGACACTGATTTTCTCTCCCATGACTGTACATAGACTAATACGCGGATACTCATCCCTGTTTGGAGCTTTAAGGTGATACCAAAATGCAAATAAATAACACCTTAAACATCCATCTTATATTGTTGATCCCACCCAAACAAAGAGGCACTTACACAGTATATAAATCTTATTGAGGTCCTCCACACAAAAGCAAATTTCACACAGATAGAAGAGGACATCTATTAAAGTAGAATGGGCACAAATATTATCTTGCTTCCCAGTGCAAGCAAGCATTTTCTGGATTCCCTGAAATAGAGAAATAGGACCATAAAAGTAGGAATGATAGTACTTTTTGGAAATGTTACATACAAGTCCATTCCAGTGAAATTGGTATTTCACATTTGTTTCCTTGCTACAAACTCATGACAGGATTGTGAACGGTGAGAGTTACCACACTGTTCTGAAAAGTGGAAACCTCTCAGACCCTGTTACAGTGGATTTAGAAATTGCCAGTGTATCTTCTTTTCCCTTTTTCCTGTGCTTTGTTTCTGAATTACTTTATTTAAGTTCTTTCCTTCAACCTGATCCCAAATTATGTATCACCAAAATGTATTCAGTATGTTAAATATGACATTAGAAAGAAATAACTTTGGAGGATCATTTATTCTAATTATTTATGATCTGTAAATGTACCTACCTCTGACCTATTTTTCTGACATTCTATTAGAATGATAGATAAGTTGTTAGGCTCCTTAATATTGCCTGTGGTGTATACAGAAAATCCCTTGTTTTTAAATGGCACCTATGTGCTCTCTGGGGGCAGCTGTTGGCAACTGCATGCTACAATACAAATGTATATTCATGCTTAAAGAAGCATGTGAACTGTAGATTAGAACCAGGTCCACCGACAGGGCCTGGTGATTCAAACGGGCCCTGGATTCCTGGCTGTCACTGCACCCTAGGACCTTTATATTATGGCTGGAGTGTCATGTGGTGTGCTGCAGAGCCCTGAGTGGCATGCTATGTATGGCATTGAGGAGATGAGGTGCAGTCAAGATGGTGCTGAGAGCTGGCTGCCCCAGCTCTACCCCTTCCACCCAAGTCCCCTTCTCTTCTAGGAGTGCACAGCCTTGTCCAGGGGCCCAGCGATTCTGTTAGCTTGCCTGATTGGAACAAAACTGCAATCACAGAATGAAACAGGCTACACATTCCTCTTGCCACCTCCTTTCACCAGATGCACTAGAGAGTTCTCCGTAGGGTCCTAGGAAAAGAAGGTCAGTGTCAGAGAGCACATTGCCCATATCACAACTACTGCCATCATCTACACCCTCAGAACTCATATTAATATTAGAATATTAAAGTGCATGCTGCCCTTTGTTCAGAGTGGATTTATAAATAGAAATGCAAACATTTACCACAGAAAAATAAAATAGCGTAGTATTATTGGCACTTACAAATCTCACTGACATCTGTGGGAACTGCACATGCTCAGGACATCGCTAATCAGACCATATTGTATGTTTCTCTTCCATACGGTAGGGCCAGCCTCTGGCCCAGTGCTGTCCCACAGCATAATGACTACCCACCCCAGGTCTGAGTAATCACAGCTTTAGGGTTTGCTACGTCAGGAGGCCCTTTTACTGTTTCATCTCTAACCATACTACACAAGGTTCCATCACCTGTTCCACTTACGTAGTGATTCCAGCATGCAGTGTGAATATCATTACTGTTTCTGATTTTTCAGGGCTGTGTTTCATCACAACAGTGTTGCCACACCAGGGCTAAAGCTCATCCTCTAGACCACCAATGATTTCACCTCCAGCAATTGCTGAGAAGAAAGAGAATTCTCAAATAAAAAATAGCCTATTAAATTCTGGCTTTAAACAGTGCAGAATGAGGCTCTAGCACATCTAACACCTTTAAACAGAGCCCTGTCCATCCTCTCCTTTCCTTGGATTTGACTCATTATCCCATGCTTAGCAAGTGAGATTCTGGTGACGTTGCAACTGGCACACATTAAATTTTTGTTTCCCTTTAGCTAGATAATAAGGATAGCTACATTTCATTGCCCCTTCATTCAGGACTTAAGTAAATTGTTCATATAGGCAAAATAAGTGTGTCTGTGCAAATACTATCTGCTGATGAGGTCTTTTCCACCAGTTTATCAATAGATGGCAGGAGAGAGACTGTTTGAGCCCTGTCTTACATGCATTGTGTGTTTGCTTTTAAATGTCTGCAATCTGGAAATGATTCTTTAAATTGCAGCCACTGATTAACTAAATATTAGAAACATAAAGTTGCTTTGTTGAATTAGACAATCTTTGGTGTCTTTCATGTCCCAAGAAATAGGAAACATAAGCCACCCAGGGGAAAATGTCTTGCTGTGACTATGTATTAGATCCTATGGACCAGAAGTTTTCTAATACAAGTTGCTAAAGTTGGATTCCTAAATCAATATTTAGGCACTTAAATGTAAGGGCCTTCATTTTGAGGAGGGTTTAAGTGTGGTAGGTACCTTTGTGTCTGGGGAAGGAATTTCCAAGAAATAGGAAACATAAGCCACCCAGGGGAAAATGTCTTGCTGTGACTATGTATTAGATCCTATGGACCAGAAGTTTTCTAATACAAGTTGCTAAAGTTGGATTCCTAAATCAATATTTAGGCACTTAAATGTAAGGGCCTTCATTTTGAGGAGGGTTTAAGTGTGGTAGGTACCTTTGTGTCTGGGGAAGGAATTTCAGTGTCTCAAGTCCCAGCCATAGGTTTCTGCACAAACACTAGCGCTCCTTTCTAGCGCGTAACAATTAACATCTGGACCAAGCACCACACTTAGCAATAGAATGACATGTTCATCTAACTCAGATCAGGATCTCTAACAGGGCTACACAAACTTGCTTGACTCTACCCCTGTCTCTCCCACATAGCTAGATAGATACACACTCTGCCTCATACCATTTCACTTCTCTCCTTTGGTCACTCCAACTTGTCCAAGCAATCTGATGCTGGCATGAGATATGAGCTCAGACGGGTGGGTCTTGTGATATGGTCTCGGCTATCCTGTCCAGACTCCAGGCTGTGCATCTGTGCAAGCACTAGAGCAGCAGCTGGCTCTCCTCCAAACAGCTTTTAGATCAGACCCCCATCCTCTTTCTCAAAACCAGGACCAGATATAGATGCTTCCACTGGGGATTCCACCATATGAACCAACCCAATGGTGGGAGCCCAGTGATTCCTTTCAGTGTTGCAGCCTGGTCACTAGGACTAGATCTTACCTTAATAGCCGATTTTGTGGCTTGGGCTCAAAGAGGCAAGGCCTCAGCATGTTGCAATGGACCACCTACTCCACTCTATCTGCGGACTCTGCTCTGCTCTTGTATTGGGGCCATTTGGCTGCAGATGATGGGACCCAGGTTGTGTTTAGTTTGAAGCACCTCTGTTGGCTGATTATGGCCAAAGGCCTGGCACCAGCATGTCTGTCAGAGCTTTTTTTCTCTCTATCTTGGGCTTGCCACATATTAGCTATGATCTGGTTTACCTCACAGAGGTATTGGTGATGCTTCTGGACCTAATCTGAGTCTCCTGCACCCAGACTATTGTTCCCTGTGATTCTCAGATGGATGTCCACGATCATGTCTATTGGCAGTCAGCCATGCCTGCCAATTATCAGGAAAAAGGGGGTGTACTTCATGGAGGTATGCATGTTATTATACACAGAGGTCAGCTGCAGAAAATAAGAAAGCCAGTTTCTCTGTCACATCTCTAAGAAGGTCCTCGGCCCTGCTATGTTGGCTCACTTATAGAGGACTATGCAGTTTGGTTTGTAGACTCTCATCTTTAGCTTGTGGCTGCTATATAAAGAGCATAATTCTTTAAACATCTGTTACATGAAGGGCATGACTTCTTCTGTGAGCACTGCAGAAAGGTAGCCATACGGCTAGACAAAGTAGTGCGAGAAGGCTTCTGCGGTTGGTATAGCTGTGATTTCCTGAGGGGTATCATGCCCACGAATATGTCATAATGCTCCACCGTGGCCAGGAAGTCAGACACACTGTTCTGGCTTGGCTACCCATTGAAGTGGCCCAGTGCTAACAATACATGGGCACGCTGGTCCCTGTTGGCTGAAGAGGGGGCCTCTCCCCCATCTCAGGATTAGGCACCTGGGAATTTATGGGGGGTAGACACCTTTGAAAATTAGGTCATTAAATATCCATTTCGGAAACTGATTTTGGTTATTTTGTTTTTAAAATGTTGGCCGTAAGCTATATTGTACTACTATATATATTTAGTAGCCTGGAACTCATATCTCAATTTATTTTTTAGTCTTTGATGGAGCAGTTGTGAAACACTACAGGATCCGAAAGGATGAAGAGGGCTTTTTTCTTAGCAGAAAGAAAACTTTTAAAACATTGAATGCTTTTGTTGACTACTACACCAATAACAGTGATGGCCTCTGTGTTAAGCTCAGCAAGCCCTGTATAAAGGTAAAATTAATTCTATATTGTGCAAAATATATATTTTCAAACTAACTTTCTGGTTATCAGTCATAAGGTGCGAGGTTGTGAAATGATGACCTGTTTCTTTGATGAAGTTGCGTGGCTAGCAGAACTGTTTCATTTTTGGAGCAGACACATTCATAATAAAATACTCTGACATTTTGAACAAATAATTGTGTGGCTGGAGGAAAAGAATGTGCCAACTTGTGATTTATGAATAGCTCTGTATATTGAGATAAAATCGCCAAGTTCATAACTCTAGATGTCTATAAGTATTACTGAGACAAAACCATCAGGTTCATGAAGACAATATTTCATTGTTCATAAACTCTTGCAACGGGGTGTGAGATTTTTTTTTAAATGGAGGGTCTTTGACTAGTTGTAGCATTTTAAAGACTTATACGATATCAAGTAACTGCTTCTCTTCATTTCAAAGTTTTATTTGAAGCTCAAATAATGTTTTGTCAGGTACCCAAGATATGGGTTTACAGATACTTTTTACATTTTCTTTTATGTTTGTTCTTTATGCTCTGTGTGTTCGGTAATAGTACTCTACTCCTGATAGTTTCAACTTTAGTACTATTTTTAACAAAGATTTATTATATAAACGTCTGAAAAAATGGCAAAATATCTAATGTCTGTGTTTGGTTCTTTACACCAGAAAAAAGTTCCTACTCCTTTCGATTTGTCATACAATACTGCAGATAAATGGGAGATCGACCGAAATTCTCTGCAACTGTTGAAAAAATTAGGTTCTGGTCAATTTGGTGAGGTGTGGGAAGGACTATGGAATAATACCACACCAGTGGCAATCAAAACATTGAAACCAGGTATGTCACATACCACTTAGAAATACTAATATTGTCAGACTGTGGCAAGATCACACTTTTATGTTGTGTAAATATTTTTATTACAAAAAACCTCCAAGGTATCTAATGATCCTGAAAGACGAGCATCTTCTAATGATAGGTAAAATTGAGTTTGTTATTTTAAGATCCTTAAAGATTCCATGGCACTTTGTAATAAGGTTTTATATTCGGCTTACCTAAATTCTCACTGCTCTTTCATTTGTTCTTCAGTTTCACCACACAACACAAGCTTCCATTCTCTCATATAATGTTGCTGGCACAGAATGGCTGTCATATTTCACCCCAGAGATAGCTGCATTTCATCAGTAGGTGAAGTGAACATTAGATATGTAATAGGTAGTTTGTAAAAATCCTTCTGGTGGATAGATGTTTTAATGTTTTATTGTCACTGAATTTGTATTTGTATTAATCAGTCCTTATTCTGAGCAGTAATACAGAGTAAAACACTAAATAGTGATTGGAAATGGAATATTTCCAATATTGCATATTTATGACATACTCTACTAACATCTGATGCTTATCTTCTGTATTTCCTTGTATGAATAATGTGGCATCTATTTGACTTTTTCTGTACTTTTTAAATTAGTTTTAAGTATCCTTTCCATTATCAAAAACAATAGCGTCTACCAGCAGATGGCACAAATCACATAAATAACAAAACCAAGCATAGGTGATATAAATATTTTTTTAAAAAAATTAGATATAATATGTTTTATTCAATTCAAAAACATTCATGAGTTTCTAATGGCTTTGATTCAAGCAAATTCCATTGAGGGACCTAAGACTTAAGATTTTAGCCTATGTACAATGTCTAACCTATGTAATGTGTACTGAGATCTTCATATTGGTGGTGGATTATATATTACTCACTTCTTCTTGAAACAAAGCTTCACTTTTAATACTGGAGTCAGAACTGATGGAGTGATTTAGAAACATATCATCCCCTTAGCCCTAACTGAACTCTCCCATCTCTTTTTTGAAAAAAAGTAATCAGGAATGATAGGTCATTCAATTACTTGATTGGCTGATACCAATTCCATTTGGTACCACGTAACTTGTACAGGAAAAGTGAAATTCCAGATGCTCAAACCTTATCCTTTCATGACAGAGATTAATTTTCACATGTGTCCAACCCCACTACTCCTTACCACTAAGATCACTCCCTGACTATTCCTCAATTTGTCAACCCTAGTTACATCCTCACAGGTGTCACTGGAAAGCTTGAGAAACACAGTAGTTCTGTACTACCACATTATCACAAAGGAAGAAAAGAGGTCATTTCTTCTTCAGTATTTATGTTTGGTTCTAATAATAGGAAATGACTATTGAGATTGGTTAAACACTTGCAACTTCACACTGATGATTCATAAATTCTAGAAGTCATTTATTACTACATAGATTATAAGGCAATAAAAGATAGTCACCTAAATAAACTCCTGCACTAGATTTATGAGATTTAATTGAATTTTTACACCATAGTTAGCAAAGAACTGTAATTTCTGTTGCAACTGCCAATAGTAGAAGCATAGCAGTATGGAGTGCTGGAAGACTTCAGCTCTAATATTCAAAATTAGATTGGACAAAATGCTAAGGAATTCATTTTCTCCATCTCCGTGTTTTATGGTGTGATCCAGCTCCTGTTGAAGTCAATGGAAGGAGTACTACTGGCTTCATGGGTGTGGGTTTGGACCCTCTGATTCTATTATTGATATACCTTATAAAATATCAAAATATTCTACAGTATAAGACAAAGTATTGTGATAACAGGATGCTGTGTTCAGAACACTGTAGTATATTTTCCTTAGAGATTAACTTTTTTTGTACAATCCAACTACCTCTCTGAAACTTCTACATTTTCGTTCATTATATATAATAATAACTTCACAAGACACACTGATTTCAATAATTTAAAATCAGAATGATAAAAGCTTAGTTTGGCACTAATGAAAATGCACAAGAAGTCAGATGTAGTAATTTATTTCATCTTAATCAATCAGAGAATGGCTACCATAGTTCATGAGTGTTCACGCTAAGGTTGTTATATTCTGGTGCATATATTAATTCTTCACACTTAAAATACAGAGATATAATGGTTTTCATAGACATAGATTATAAAGACAGAATTGATTATTATATCAACTAATATTTTCTCTTATATATCACAGACCATTAAACTTCACTCAGCCAGGCATTGAGTCCTGTGACTTACGTTTGGGTACCTTTCTGAAAGTTATGCCTTAGTAAGTCCTGACCTTAAGACATCAAATAATGACAAATCCACCACTTCCCTTAGTAGTTTGTTCCAATAGCATTTTCTGATAGAAAAGTCTTAACATGATTATTAATATATATGTAACATCTAAAAGTGAGAAAAAAAGTCAATGGTAAAAATTGAAAAAGTACAGAGGAAGATTGAAGCTGTCGCTATTGATCTTTCAGGTTTCGAATTGGTGGTTTAGTTAAGACAGCTAATTCAAAGTGAGAGGGGTACTCTGGTCAATGCCGGTAACCTTGCTTTCATGTAAGGGAAGTTGGAGGAAGAGTGCTTTTCCTGCTGTATAGACAGTGCCAAAAGCAGAGTTAAGCTACTTCGACTTCAGATAAGTGATTAAATTAGCTGAAGTTGTGTATCTTAATTCGACTTTATTCCATAGTGTAGACATACCCTTGATGCATGCATGTGCAAATGTTGCACATATACAAATCTGATGCCATAGAAAATGTGGGGTAAGAGTTTGAAAAGCAACCATGACTTCCAAGTTGCTTTTGAAAATTTTACTCTAGGGTCCCTCGTACGGATCTACTCCAGCTCCTGCTTCTGGACATACAGTAAGGGATTCCAAAAACTGAATCCCATGTGCCCTAGCTTGCTGGAGCTGAGCAGACTTTAGGTTTTGGTCTTCCACGACCTCAATCCAGTCCTGACTCTGTGTCTGAAACCTATCTTGGCAGTGGGGCCCTTTGTGTCATTTTCCTCCAGTGACTCCTGCACATTTCACAGAATGCCATTAAAAGTGTGAGCATTGTAGACTGTAGTTTACCTCTTCTGGGTGCATGACAGTGAAAGAAATAGACACAAAAACTATACAGGATTCAAAACACAATTACTCTTTACATAACATTATGAGCTCTACACAGATCTAGACAAAATAATAAATACACTGGTATGCACTTTCCCTGTCTCAGTTTCCTCACCACTCTGTAGAGTTGTTGGGGCTTACAATCATCTGTGGTATCTGGGATCATGCCCTGTCAGCTCAGGCTTTCTCATCAGTATTATGGAGTTTTCTCTAGAGCAGCTAGATTTTTCTGACCTTTTCCGGTGCTGCTGTTACACCAGAGCTCCCTTCTATTAAAGCATGCTTGTTCTCCTTCCTAAAGCTTCTTCTGTCTCTAAAAAGCCTTTCTTCTTATTCTTCCTGAGTCCTATTTAACCCCCTACATTGTCTCCTCTGCGCCTTTGTCTTGTTTCAGGTATTTTCCACCCATTCCATTTCCCCCATCCTGTAGGCAAATTGAAGCAACTAGTTTCAGCTGACCTTAGCTTACTCATTGTTTGGTCAGAGTACAGAATTTAAGTCTTTCTTTGTCTCCTGATCCCTGTCTTGACAGCCGCTTTTTGTCGACAAACTGCTGACTCGGCAAAACGTGGTGGCCATTTTTATTCAAATGAAGTGCAGGAGATTTAAATCCCTGCTTCATTTGCAATGTTGGTATGTCTAATTTACATCCCTCTGGCGACAGAGGGATGTAGTCTAGACATAACCGATGTCCCAGGGGAGGGAGGCGAGAGGATTAGTTAAGGACAATAATAGAACTTGCAGTGCTGAACTATTAGGATCATCAGAAGATGAATCCATACGGATTCTGAATCAGTTTTTCCTAACCATTTGGAAAGTGATTTCTCAGCCTCTCAATGTTGGATTATGGAGCTATTCAAAATGTCAAAATGATTTTTTTATAGTCTTTACATTTACACAGTGTTTCCATCAGCTTCACTGAAAGTCAGAACTCAAAATGTCAAAATGATTTTTTTATAGTCTTTACATTTACAGTGTTTCCATCAGCCTCACTGAAAGTCAGAAAATTCCTATTTCAACTGGAGGTTTTTGATTAAAATAACACAGATGCTTTTGGAACAGCTTTAATATTTTTAAATAATCAATATTTGAAATTATTTTATGTGTTGCCAGCCTCATTTGTAAGGGTAGCACAATCTGTCATGATATGTTCATTTCCATAACTGTTTAGATACCGATTCAACACCAACTTTGCTGTGTTAGCCAACCACTCCCTTCTGTTGTCCAGACTTTTTATTTAATTTTATTTCCTATAAGATGGCAAATCTATGTTCTGGCCAAATTAGACTCCTTCACTGAAAATAGTATTGCCCAAGAGTAAAACCCCAGGAGAACATTTGTTGACTCTTTCCATTTCAATCCCAGTTCTTAATGGAATATCTTTGATCTCAGAAGACAGACAGGAAGATAAAGAAGGTTTATTGGGGCATGACTGAAAAATACAGTCACTTCAGACTGCAACTAAAAGCTTGAGGAACACATTCTTGTAGCTATTTACATAGTACAGAGAAAGACAAAGCGTCCAGTGAGGGCATGCTGGTGCAGAAGCCTAAACAATCTCGTGTTGAAAAGTTACTCTAGGGACTACAAGACACTGGCCAAGAACAGCACTGTTCAAGCTGTCAATGAAAGTTTTGTCAGCCCATGAATGACACTACAGCTGGGAAATAAGAGTTCCTTTGTCACATTGTTTCCACCCCACTGTGCCTATGCTGACAGGCATGTAGGTCAGTGGTCCTAAAATTATAGAATTATGTTGTTGACAGCCACCATGGGCCCAGGGACAAACTCTGCCCTTGAGATAACCTCTTTTATGTTTTTGTACCTCTGGCCCTGAAATAATCCCAGACTATGTCCTACTCGTTATCGAGTGACCACTGTGAGAGAGAATCCCAGGCTGAATTCTCTACCAGGAGTTTGGGTTTCTGTTGGGTGTTTGGCCAGATGCCTGTGTTTGTCCTACCCCAATTACATATTGTCCTTTGCTGAGTCAGCCCCTAGTGATTCTCCAGGAGGTCTTTATTCCCTTAAACTGCTTTGGTCCCTTGCCTGGGAACATTCTCTCTGGGCCTTCCTTCTTCTGTTAGTTGAGGTATGGTTTCCTACCAAGCTCTCTGAAGAACCTCTCTCTTCTCAAAAGCTTCTGCCTTTCTGGGCTCCCTGACTAAGCCCTCATAAGCTTTGCTTATGCCCTCATGTTCCTTGCTTTATTAACTGTGATATTTAGGTTCTATGTGAGTGAAACGAGACAATCACTATCCTGTTGAGTGAACTCACACAGGAAAATGTCAAAAACAGCCTATCACTCTCTTAATCAGGATTCTCTGGTCTGGCAACTTCCATCGTCCAGCATGGTTGTTGCAGGACCAGAGAGCAGTGTTCCCTCTAAATTGTGCAGCAGCACAGCTCCACACAGGTAATTAATTAGCCCTCTTCCCCTCCCCTCTCCCCCCAAGGTCATGTAAGACAATTATGCCTGTTTTCAAAATTCATGTTGTGGCATTTCAGTCCTGAGTCAGTGCGCAGGAGCCAAGAAGGGGGGAGGAAAGGTCAAATACCAAAGTAACAACGAATAACAATAAAAAATAAAATAAAATATGTGCTCTTTAAGGCCTCCAAACCAACTTCAGCCTAGTTCTAGGAGGCAGGCAGACTTTCTTCCTTTTGCTGAGGCTTCACTTCCCCATACCTGATGCATAACCAAGTTCATAAGGCTCTTCCTTTGGATTCTTGAGTAAGAGCAACCAACCATGTAATCATAAAATAAAATGTCTAGACCCCAGGTTAAGGTCTTGCCCTGGAACATGCAACCTGTAGTTCTCTCTCCCTGGCTCAGCTTCTTATCCTGTTTATAGAGAACAGCCCCAAGGGCAGGATGCTCTGTGATTATGCTCAGACTGCTTTAGCTTGGAATGTTCCCTAAAGACACAGTACACCACCACAGTCAGATTTTGGTCTTTGGATACTTTCTGTGTGTGAGAAGCTTTAAATTCAGTATTTAAATATTCAGTTTTCTGAGGTTTTGCACATTAACATGATTTTTTTTGAGATGTCATGTATTGTGGTACCTTATTTTAAAAATTAAGTGTCAGTCTTTGTTTCCTTCTTTCCCCCTCACCATAAAGACAAACCTTAACCATTATACACCGTGGGCTGATACACATGGTTTCTGTGCCCCAGACAATCGACTTGTTTCACTTAGAGGTTTTTTTTTTTCAGAAGCGCTGGTTCATTTCTCTGATTACTCTAAAGGTTTGTGGGGCTAATGCACTTTACAAAAGAGACAGAAAATAATCTGAGTGATTCCCATGAGGTCGCTGGGTGTTTAACATCTGCTGATTTGTTGTTGTTCTTGCTTCAGGTTCAATGGATCCAAAAGACTTCCTTAGGGAAGCACAAATCATGAAGAACCTCAGACATGCAAAGCTTATACAGCTCTATGCAGTTTGCACTTTAGAGGATCCAATTTATATTATTACAGAGTTGATGAGACATGGAAGTCTGCTAGAATACCTCCAAAGTAAGAAAAAGACCCAATACTCATTTTAGATAGTACTGGCGTTTGCTGTTTACTAAATGTGCTAAATGTGTGGGTGATCACGTTGTCCCTGGCTAAATTCCTCTTCCTAGACATTTATTTTTCATTTTCTTTGTTTTAAACCTTTCTCCACCCTTCAAACATTTTGGGCAGCATTTTCTGCACAGTGGTCTGTCAGGTTCCACCGCCTAGGAAGTGTGTTCTAGTGATGTGCAAGGAACCCTAATGTATAGTCTATTAAAGTGTTTTGTGATCTTTCCTGATGAGCACTGCTGGAAACATTTAAGATGGTATTTATTAATTATTATTAATTATAATGATGTATTATTGAGCTGTCACTAGAGAGCTTAATTGAACACAACTGAGCACTACTTTCTAGTTACAAGTATAAATTAAATTGTCTTAAATGTATGAGTATTTATATCAATCGTGATGTGCTCAGTCGATATTTAGTGAGGATTTACCAATGCCTCCAGTCTTAAATGAAGGAATATTTAATATTGAATTTCACACTGTTAATACTTCTGTCAGTGAGTGCCTCTCCTATCTCTTGTCTTTTGAATAAGACATTGTGACAGATGGTTGAGATCATGATGCATCCCTGGATGCTCTTAAATACTTCATTTCCTGTATTAAATTCCTTATAAAAGAAACGGTTTTGTTTAAAATTGTTAGTAACAAGGGACAGGAAGAGTTGCCACGTTTTACTTACAAGGTAGAGAATAAGTCATGGGCAGGTTTTATAAATGTATTTGCCAGTGCCTGTAGTTTGAGTGCTTTGTCTCACATTTATATCACTTTTTTTCAAAAGTATGTGAGAACAAACCTAAATCCAGAAGGACTAGGTTGTAAGCTTACAGTCAGCAATGAATATGGGGTGCTGCTTAACTGGAGTGATGAGGAAAGGAATTGTGACTCAGACTAGTATGGAAGAATTACAAAACACATGTCTCCTCCTATTCACTCCAACTGAGGTACCACATTCTTCTTAACTGTAACATACTCCATTCATGGATATATTTTCTTGTCCAAGAGCCTGAACAGTATTATTCCAGTATGTTACTGAGCAGTAAGTGTTAGTGCCTGTTAGTATCCACACAAATGAAGAACTGCACTGTGTGATATGATTCTATAACCTGATGACAGATTTTCATCATGTCATGCAGTTTGATTTTTCTCTGTTTCAAAGGTCATGGTTGCTATTAAACATGTGTGTGGGGGAGAAGAATTTCTGATTCAATAATAGAAAGAAATAATCTCAATGTCAGATTATTATGACAACCAGATTAACCTCAAAGAGGAAGTAGGAAGGTACATAGGGCCAGGGAAAGTTCAATCATTAAAATTCCGCCTTTCACCTCTTCAGTTCAAAACATACTGACGAGCAGGAAAGTCAAGGTTTAGCAACTGTAGAGTACAGGAGTAAACAGTGCCGAATAGTCTTCAAAAATATGACTGCAAGGTGCTCTCTATTCGGTTAGGTGAACTGCCAGGAGTTAAAAGTGATTCAAGGCAGTGCTGTCCACTGTCATTCTGAATCAGTGGGATATCATTAGCAGAAGCCGACTGCCAACTGCAGATGATGTTTTTGTCTTTAATGCCAAGGCAGTTAGGAAGGATAATCCACATTCCCAATATAAAGAGAGAGCCCAGAATGACTGAAGTAGCAATATATCATTGGAGTATTCAAATTTGGAAAGATTTTGGAGACGTGAAATACTATTTTTCCTGTGAGAGTAGTGCTTGTGTTTATGTTTCTAGCGCTGTGGGTTCTGGGTTCAAATGTCACTCATAAGAATGATGACTGAATATAGCAATGAGTTGATCACTCCTTCACAGTTAGATCACCTGCATACAAAAGAGTTTAAACTTATCTCTCTCCCAGCATCAATTAATCTGGTCCAATATGCCACAAAATCCTTGACTCTTAGTTACAAGTGACCCCTTCTTTTTCTGTTATAAATTCTGTCCCCTTTTCTGCAGTCATGCTCATCTGAAGAAGTGGGTTTTATCCACAAAAGCTCATGACATGATATATATTTAGTCTCTAAGTTGCCGCAGGACTACTCATTGTTTTTAAAGTTACAGGCTAACATGGCTCCTCTCAGAGATTGAATCCTAGTTGTAATTTGTAATTCTCAGTGAGAGCTCTCAGTACCTGCCTTGCCAATTCAAACTACTAAAG